AGCCCCAAAACCCAACAGGAAGGGAAGCATGCAAAATCACATGTTGGAAGACTACGACGCTTTTCGGAGTGTAAAGAAGGGGGGGTTGAAGCCCTCTTGACTGGTAGCACAATGCACAATCTCTCTGACGCGGACCTGGGAAGCTGAAAGCCATCATCTGAAAAGACCAATGCCACGGCAAGACGACGCCTCCCATGGAACCCTTCTGACCATAGGATCCATGGAAAGCCAAGGGCTGGGAGCTCAAAGGTGCGAAGGCAACCAAATCCGAAACGCGCCAGCGATTCGGGGGGGTTTGAAACATGGAGCCATGAATGAAATTCAACGCCTCAGCCCCCAATCTTATTTCTGACAAGAAAAATAATCTACGCCCGACGCCCCCTCCCCATCCACCATGCCAAGAACCCTCTTCAGGAGACTATAAGAACCCTTCGGGTGGGTGGAGGTGGGGGCCTTTGGTTGAAACCAATTCCGATCAACTGCAGCCGCTGTGCGGCCCGAGAAACGGCCCCTCATACTTGTCGCGCCAATCAATCAGAGCTTTCCTGGCACAAGCCTCACTCACAACAAGGAGTGCTTCATGCAACTTCAATGGGCTTATGGACCCAGAGTTCACACTTACACATGCGGGCCCGTGGCAAACTTTCATTGGTTTCTCTCCTTTGGAACCAAAGGCAGGCTGCCTATGACTTGCTCCAACACCTGCCTGTTTGACGGTCATGCAAATGATGGTCACCAAAGGGTCGCCACTTTCGATCCGGGAAGCCCAAAAGATAAATCGTGGCTGCGCTTCTTGGGTTTCTGTTTGAGCCAACCTGTAAACCCCCCCCGCCCCCCCCCCCCCCAAACAGCCAAACACGCATCTCGTCGCGGGAAGCCCCGGCCAAAGCGGCGGCATCTCCGCGCCACTCGTCGCTGCCGTCGCAGCAGTCACAGACCCCGTCGTTGACCTGGGAGGTGTAGATGTACGCCGGGTCGCTCTGCTCGTTCGCACCTCGGTCCGGTTGCCGAGTCCCACAACACTCTTCACACCAAGAGGGTTGCTTTTTCTAGAAGACTCCCCTCGTTAGCCCCCAATCTTTTGGGAGTAATCAAAAAATGGTGTCTCTTATTTTTGGGGACCCCTCCAAAATGGGCGGTTGGCCTGTCTTTGTTCCTCAAAGCCAAAACTCAACAGCTACCACCAGGCGAAAATTAAAGCAACAACATGTGGGAGGTCAGAACTAAACCACCAACAGGGCCCCACCCCCAGGTTTGAGTCTACTTCTCCATTTACACCCACAGCCGCTTCAGAAAATGGAAACAACCGCCCCTGCCGGGGCGCAGTAGAACAGAACGCCGCTGCCCGCGCACGCCGCCGTGCCCGGCTCGTCGCTGCCGTCCGCGCAGTCGCAGAAGTCGTCGTTCACTGCCCCCGGCGCCAGCTCAGCGCCGCCTTGGGGCTTGGGGCTCGCAGGATGCCTAGAGGAAGGTCTGGTTTTGCCTCCTTCCCAGCCATTGGCGCAAGGAAGGTTGGAAACAAGGTGTCAAGCTTGCAAAGGTATAAACCTTATACTGAGCTGGGGTGGGTTGGGGTGGAATTGGGGTGGTTGGGGTGGAAGAATTTGGGTGGAATTGGGGTGAATTGGGGTGGACTTGTGTGTGTGTGTGTGTTGGAATGGAGTTGGGGTGGAATTGGTGTGTTAGAGTGGAGTTGGAGTGGAGTTGGGTGGAATTGGGGTTGAGTTGATATGTACAGTTGTTTGTGCGTGCGTGTGTGTGTGTACACATGTTCTGGTGCATGTACGCTTGTATGTACATGTGTCCAGGGTCTTTATCTCGATGATTGATTCCTCACCAGGGGCAGCCAGCTAGCTGTGGAACGTGGAATGAAAACCGCACAAGCGTCATAGCTTCTTGTTTGGGCTGAATCACTGCCTCGGTAAACATTGGGAATCCCTTGGCTCAAGTTCTCCCCTCCCTCCCCTCCTCTCCCCTTTCCTCCCCTCCCCTCCCGTTTCCTCCCCTCCCCTCCCGTTTCCTCCCCACCCCTCCCCTCCCCTCCCCTCCCCCTCCCCTCCCCTCCCCTCCCCTCCCCTCCTCCCCCTCCCCTCCCCTCCCTCCCCTCCCGGATAGATGATCCCTGTCCAACCCCTTTATAACCCCTTATCACCAAGGATTTCGGCGTGTGTCTGTTTGGGGTATGACCCCTAGGTCGGATCAAAGGCCTTCATCCAAGCACCGCAACACCCAACTGCGGTTGTGCTGTTTGAAAATCTCCCTTGGCCGCGGCGGTTTTGACGGTACCCTTTCTTGAGTCAAGCCAGCCACGGAAGCTCACCCACTCGCCCAACCGAATTTTCGTTGCCGAGGCGCCGCATCTGAAGGGCTCCAGGGAATACTTTGCCTCCAAATTTGGGGTGGCCCCTTGGGCGCCTGTCTCTTGATGAGGCGGTGGGAGTCCCTCTCATCCATGGCTTAAGTCTCAAACCGAGGGGACTCCATGGATGGTTTCACAACAAAAAGCGGTACCCTCAAAATGGAAGACACCATTGGCACCCTTGCAGGGTTTGTCTAAGGGGACCCCCACAATGGTTTGTATCCTGTTGGTTTCTGTTTAAACCTTGAAACCACCGCAAACCCAAATAACCTCCAACAAATGGGACTGCTCATTTAGCCGCTCATTTGGCCGCATGTTGTAAACCACCGATCCGTACCGCCAGGAGAACCGAGTTTCCCACCCGTTGTGGATACCTGATACCTGCTTGCAGCCGTCCGTCCCCGGAATGAAAAACAAGTCTGTGGTTTGATTCGGTGGTTACGTTGCCACAACGACCCGGGCAGGTTTCAAAAGGTGAAAATCCAACTCCACATCCAAACCATCAGTTGAGACCAAAGTTTGACGCCCGAAGTTGGAACAAATGAGTCACAATCAAAACCTGGTACAAACATGGTGAACCCAGAACCATGTAAAGAAATAGAATGGCGGCAACTATTTCCGGCTGGGACTGCCCCTTACGAACCTTCATCTACCCAGGTTTTGATTGTGGCTCATATGCTTCTTGCGACCCCCTATAAAGGTTCCGTGTGCCCTGGGCACGCCGAAGATTTCACGACTGGTTGCCTTTAAGTTAGTTCCCCGTAAGCTGCAGGTTCCCATAGTTCCCATGTGAAGCCAGGCCTGGAGCCATCAAAGTGGAGGCCGAAATCATGGAAGGAATCCTCTAAAAGTGGTTCTTTGTCCAGTTCACTTGGGAGGGGGTGTCAAAATTGCAATATTGCGATTCGGCACCGGGTACCCTCACTGTGTGGCACTTTCCAGATCTCATGCAAACACCCCCCCTAAAACCCCCGACAACTAGTTCCAGAAACTGAGCATTGACTGCAAATTCCTAGTCGAGGAGCTTAAGGAGTGAGGCCAGGGCTGGGCAATGACACAAATCACTCCCAACCCCCTTTCCCTTCCTCCCAACTCGGCGCCTGAAATTCAAGGAATTGATCCCTTCAAAACGGAAATGTATCTAGCCAGTAGTGCCCTTTACCAACTTTTTTGGGAGCGGGTTCCCCTACAAAAATAGACTACATTTTACTGGAGGACCTAGGTATCTGCCAAGTACGGTGCGCCTCCCGCCCCCCCTCCCCACCCCTCTCCCCCGTGCCCTTGCCTGCTCCGCCGGTGCCACCCCCCGCACCTCGCTCCCCGCGACGGCCGCGGCCCACGCCGCCGTAGCCGAAGCCGCCGCCAGCGCCCGCGCCATGACGCCAGCCACGAGCGAATTGGCGCCAGCTGTCGCCAGCCACAAATTGCCCACGGCTTGGAGGGGAAGGAGTTGAATTGGAAGGGTCATCTTGGAGGGTTCTTGATTTGAGTTGGAAGGGGTCATAAACTCTGTATTTCTATACGTCCAAGCCTCAAATGAATTGGATCCCCGAGAAATGTCCTTTCTTGTCGTAGAAAGGCCGTGTTTCTTTAGAAATGCCCGAGCTGGCTTATATGATTTAGGAGCCATGCTTAGAGGCTGGGGTGTGGCAACACTTTGTTTGTTTGTTTCCGCGTGTTTGTCCTGTACTTCCCGTTCATAATTGGTATCGCTAGTCACGGCACCAGCAAGACCAAGGTGCCCAAAATTCAGCAGGGTCACCAGTTCCCCTTCAAACAGTTCCAAGTTTCAGGTGCGCTCAAATGAAAATGCAAGTTTGAAAAATAAGATCTGGCCGTATCCCCTACAGCCCTGGAATTTCCTGGAACCCTCCCTGAAAGCTGCCCCAAACCAACTCAGACCCAGAGCCTATCTGGGCAAAAGACCCCCAAGCTTTCAGATGTTGGGGAATAAACTGTGGGGGACACTTGAGTTACGTCAAGGGCCAAGAATATAGCATCACACGCATCTGTGTTGCACCTGTGCATGCGCATAAAACCTGTGCGCGCGGGATTGTTCAAACACCCCTGTGGTGCAGTCAGCGAGCAAAAAAACATCGCCGGCATTGCGGGAAATGACCCCTTCTGTGATACTGTGGACGGACGAAATCCTGCACACCAAAGACACCCTGGAATGATAATTCCCTCAAAATACCAACCAACCGTGGTGCGAACGGATTTCGTCCATCCACAGTACGAAAGTTGGCCACCCGCGATTTTGCCACGCTCCTGTTTGACCGCTTTTCATGCAAACTGCCTGGCGGCCAGTTCTCCAACTCAAGGTTTGCCTAGGATCAGGGTCTGGCTCTCGGTTCCTGAGGAACACCTGATTCATCATGGACCCAGTTCATCTGCGCCATGTGTTGAAACCACATGGCACATATCATCTCTGAGAAAGAAGTCACCCCTGTGACAAACCCATGGGTCATGCATACCTTCCAAACCTACCAATCACTACCCTCTCACTGCTCCCCCGGCCCCCTTCCCCCCGGCTTCTGCACCCCGTGTGCGGCACTTGCCCGTGAGATGTTTCAGGGCAAGGGATGTCGCCAGTCCAACCGCCTGACCTCCGAGAGGCTTCTCCCGCGGCTCGACTCAACTCCTCCTCCCGGAGGTGCCGCACCAACTTCAGGAACTCCCCCTGCCGCGCAAAGCTCGGGGAATCGGGGAACCGGGGCCCGGGTTTTCTTGCGGGAGCGGACGCGAGGAAATGCCACCTTCGCGAAGCTTCTAGCCTCGTGGTTCTTCTTCCTCAGGCACACAAAGCCCAATTCTTTCGGGAAGGCCCCCTTGAGTGGGATACATCTTCCCTTATCATGGAGGAAGGGCGAGGTCAGACAACTAGCACAGGTTTCACCAGTTTTCGCCATGGGCCATGGAGCGCAGCCCAGCCTTGCCAGCGCAAAGCTAGGTGACGAATAAAAAAGGAAAGAAGCCAGCACACGTTTTAAGCAAAAAAGAAACTCCTGCGCTTCGCGGCGTTCCTTGGTGTCCCTTGCAACCGCTCAAGTGGAAAATCGCGGCCTCCGTTGAAAACCGCCCAAATGAGTTGGTACCCTCGCCCGAGTTGCAGCTAGGGCCTGAAAAAAGAAGCCGCGCGACTTGCCTCAAGTTGTCGAGGCAAGTGCCGCCCAAAGTCAAGCGGGGCCCCGGATTTTTGAGACCTTTCAGCCGAATGTAAAGACAAGGAAAACCAGCCATTCTGGCAAAGGGGGCCCACAAGGAAAACCAGCCATTCTGGCCAAGGGGGCCCACAAGGAAAACCAGCCATTCTGAAATCCAGGTTCCCCACAAGGAAAACCAGCCATTCTGGCAAAGGGGGCCCACAAGGAAAACCAGCCATTCTGGGATCCGGGTTCCCGGCAAGGAAAACCAGCCATTCTGGCAAAGGGGGCCCACAAGGAAAACCAGCCATTCTGAAATCCGGGTTCCCCACAAGGAAAACCAGCCATTCTGAAATCCGGGTTCCCCACAAGGAAAACCAGCCATTCTGAAATCCGGGTTCCCCACAAGGAAAACCAGCCATTCTGGCAAAGGGGGCCCACAAGGAAACCAGCCATTCTGGCATCCGGGTTCCCCAGAAGGAAAACCAGCCATTGTGGCAAAGGGGCCCCACAAGGGAAAACCAGCCATTCTGGCAAAGGGGGCCCACAAGGAAAACTTCTGGGATCCGGGTTCCCCACAAGGAAAACCAGCCATTCTGGGATGCGGGTTCCCCTTCTGGACGCAAAACCCGTGTCTGTTTGTGGGCAGAGGCATCTCAGGGAAACCATCCGTTTTCGGCAGCCTGGAAAGACACAACTTGATCAATTGAAATTGAAACATGACCTTTGCCACCAAACCAAAAGGAAACCAAAGCGTTTTCAGGTAGATAAAGTAATATATATATATATATATACATACATGTATCTACATGTCAAAAAAGAAGAAGAAGAACAAAAACAAAGTTTAGCACTGCGAAAGGGGAACCACCCCTTTGTCTTCATTTGTTTGGGGGGGAGGGGGCCTTACATGCGCACCCAGTTCCGCGCCTCGTGGATGGCGCCTGGGCGAAAAAAAATGCGGCAAGGACACCCTAGGCTTCCTTGTTCTGACCATCCCTTCGGTGCAGATCTAAACTTTTGGACCCCTCGAAGATTCCTGGCTGAAACTTTTGTGCCTTTTGCTTAGGGAAGCTTAGGGCCGCTTTAAGGGAAGCCCTTTTGAGCCCTTTGAGACAAACCTATGTTTTGTCTTTGGTGCATTTTGCCAAGGGATGTTAGGACTTTCACTTCTTGCCGACTAATGGGTGTTCCGTATGAAGCCGCTAAAAGTTAGTCACTCTTAGCAGGGGAGCAGAAAGCAACCGAGTCTGGAATTTCCGGAAACAGATCTTTCGGGCTCAACGCACCTCACAACTCTGGGGGAAAGATCTAGGCCTTCCCTTTGGGTTCAACCTGTAAAACCACCCCCTCCCCTCAAAAAAAAAACAAAAACAAACGGGTAGCCTCAAAAAATGACACACCCAAGTGTAGCATCCTTCTGGGGGTTGATTCCTTGTCCATTCTTTTCCAGCCATCCTTCTTGTCAACAACCGATCGCTGCTTCCCCTGGGTTTCCGGACAATTTCCTGAAAGAAGGCTCCCCGGGAAAAAAGAATGCGGACGGAAAGGAAAAGAAGGCAACAAAAAAAAACAAATAAAATGGGGAAACAGACAAGTAAAAAAGGCCACACGTTGGTGCCCAAAAAAAGGGAAACTAGAAGAAAAAAAGGGCCCCCTTCCCTATCTGTGTTTGGACGCCTCCGCACCACTTTGAAAGCTTGGGAAACCATTGTTCGTTTGTAATTGCAGCGGAATCATCATTCTAGAGATTCGAAGGTGGTGAAGGATTTTGTTTTGTCCATCCACGATAATTCCAATGTGGGTACATCCCACGACTACTTTCTCACTGAGGTCCCCTTCCTCTGGCAAGTTGCAGCCTGAAACGCAAAAGTGCGACTTCTTCTCGTGTTAGGCCGTTGTGACGTGCCGTTGAATAAGGGTACCCTTTTTTCCGGTAGTCTATTTTAGTAGGGGAACCCTCCCCCCAGAAGGGGTTTAAAAAGGCACCTAGTTTGGGGG